TGCAGGTCAGGTTTTAATGACTGACTTTATAGGTACTTCCGGGTCTAGTGAGATCTGGTGCACCTGGGTTATGTAGAAACTCTGGTCTAGGCCCGAGTCTTTTCATCAATCTGCATCCCATGCTATTCTATACTCCTGACCAGTGTCCTCTGAGTGGTCCTAGGTGGATAGGGGTGAAGATGAGCTCTCCTTGCTGTGCCCGAGTGTTCTCCCAGTGGGCCAGTCTCCTCCATTGCCTGTGTTGCAAACAATTCCCACGGGATGGGCCATGCACCAGTCCCTTGTGATGACTCACTGGCCTCTGAGTGGCTCCTTTTTTTTTCAGTTGTTGTGGTTCCTCGCTCCTATGTGGGTCCACGGGAACCCTATTAGTGGTCTTGCTGGCCTGGGGGCCACCAAGGCCCTCCTCTCCCCTGCCACCTCCAAGCAACTTCATCCAAAGAGCACAGCTGTGGCTTTTGTCAGCTCCTGCTCCATTCGCTCAGCAGCTCCAGCCTGGAAGCAGCCAGGGCTTGAAACAGAGAGTTTTTTTCTTTCTCTCATCGTGGCTTCCTCCACCTTCATGCACTCTATAGATGTCTCCTCCTCTTCCCATGAGCTCTAGTGGCCCCAGCTTAGCTGTCATTGCTTTTTTATAGTTGTAAATTGGTTGATTTGCTGGTCTGGGCCCGAGTCTTTTCATCAATCTGCATCCCATGCTATTCTATACTCCTGACCAGTGTCCTCTGAGTGGTCCTAGGCGGATAGGGGTGAAGATGAGCTCTCCTTGCTGTGCCCCAGTGTTCTCCCAGTGGGCCAGTCTCCTCCATTGCCTGTGTTGCAAACAATTCCCACGGGATGGGCCATGCACCAGTCCCTTGTGATGACTCACTGGCCTCTGAGTGGCTCCTTTTTTTTTCAGTTGTTGTGGTTCCTCGCTCCTATGTGGGTCCACGGGAACCCTATTAGTGGTCTTGCTGGCCTGGGGGCCACCAAGGCCCTCCTCTCCCCTGCCACCTCCAAGCAACTTCATCCAAAGAGCACAGCTGTGGCTTTTGTCAGCTCCTGCTCCATTCGCTCAGCAGCTCCAGCCTGGAAGCAGCCAGGGCTTGAAACAGAGAGTTTTTTTCTTTCTCTCATCGTGGCTTCCTCCACCTTCATGCACTCTATAGATGTCTCCTCCTCTTCCCATGAGCTCTAGTGGCCCCAGCTTAGCTGTCATTGCTTTTTTATAGTTGTAAATTGGTTGATTTGTGGGAGAGAGTGGAGCTGGGAACCGTCTATTCTGCCATCTTGACCAGAAGTCCTTCAGGCTCATTTTTTAATCACTCACGTTTGCACAATGCTACACGTACACCGCACCATTCCTCAAACCAGTGGTTCTCAAACTTAGCGGTGCATCAGAATCCCTTTGTTAAAACACAGCTTGCTTGGCCCCACTTGCAGAGTTTCTGATTCAGTTGGTCTGGGAAGAGGCTGAGAATTTGTATTTCTAACTAGTTCCCAGGCAATGCCGCTGCTGCTATCCCCAGAATCACACGTTGACACCCCCTTAGTTTTCCAGAGCCATGTATTTGGAAATGCTATTACATCCACCTGGAATGCCTTCTCCTCAGTAATCTCTATTCAAATTATGTCAAAACCCCAATGTGGACTAGGGAAAGCCCAAGTCTCCTCCCTCTTACCCCATTCTCAGCTTCATTTATCCTAATTCCCAAGGACCAGTCAAGTGAAGGATCAGAAAGTCCACTAAGGAAGGAGGGGCGTGGGGTACATGCTGGAGGACACTGGTTGTCTTTTTCTTTTTTTTTNTGCAGAGCAGTTGGGAGGGAGGGGGAGAGGGGAAAGGGAAGGAAATGGGATGGAAGAAGGAGGAAGGAGGAGGGGTGGGACTGAAGCCTGTGGCACCCCCCTCATTCCCACAGGGGAGACTGGGGGGCTTCCAGCGGTGGCTTTGTCATTGCTGGGCTAGGTGCAGATGTCAGGCGGGTATGGCCAAGTCCCTCAGGCCCCCACCACCACAGGTCAGGAGAGCCCGGGGTACTTCCTGCGGTGGCTTGGCAGTCATCCTTGGGCTGGCTGCAGATATTGGGGTCACCTGGCTGAAGCACTTGGTCCCCCACTGCCCTGGCTCAGAAGAGCCCGAGGCACTTCATGTGGCAGCTTGATGGTCGGCACTAGGGTGGTTGCACATGTCGGGGGGCCGTGGCAGAGACCCTCATCCCCCACCCTCGGGACTGGTTGCAGGGTTGGGGGGCATTGCTTAGGCCCCAGCTCTCCCCCGTTTTTGGCTTGGTAGCCCAAGGGACTTCTGGTCCTTCTAGGTGGTATAGGTGTTCTTTGGTGAAATGAGACCTTTACTAGTTAATATCAAACTTTGTCTCTGGTTGCAGGTATTTTGTTTTTTCTTTCAGTTCTGTGTTGGATTATTTGCTGTTCACACCACTTAAACTCTGTGCTGGAACTAATCTGTTGTCCTTTGCTTACTTCTAAAGTGGAGGAACTTCCTGTGGGGACCAGCACTTGAGCTCTGTGGTTATCTAAATTGCTGCTTTGCTGCTGATTCCCTAGGGAAGGCTTTTTGTGCAGGTCAGGTTTTAATGACTGACTTTATAGGTACTTCCGGGTCTAGTGAGATCTGGTGCACCTGGGTTATGTAGAAACTCTGGTCTAGGCCCGAGTCTTTTCATCAATCTGCATCCCATGCTATTCTATACTCCTGACCAGTGTCCTCTGAGTGGTCCTAGGTGGATAGGGGTGAAGATGAGCTCTCCTTGCTGTGCCCGAGTGTTCTCCCAGTGGGCCAGTCTCCTCCATTGCCTGTGTTGCAAACAATTCCCACGGGATGGGCCATGCACCAGTCCCTTGTGATGACTCACTGGCCTCTGAGTGGCTCCTTTTTTTTTCAGTTGTTGTGGTTCCTCGCTCCTATGTGGGTCCACGGGAACCCTATTAGTGGTCTTGCTGGCCTGGGGGCCACCAAGGCCCTCCTCTCCCCTGCCACCTCCAAGCAACTTCATCCAAAGAGCACAGCTGTGGCTTTTGTCAGCTCCTGCTCCATTCGCTCAGCAGCTCCAGCCTGGAAGCAGCCAGGGCTTGAAACAGAGAGTTTTTTTCTTTCTCTCATCGTGGCTTCCTCCACCTTCATGCACTCTATAGATGTCTCCTCCTCTTCCCATGAGCTCTAGTGGCCCCAGCTTAGCTGTCATTGCTTTTTTATAGTTGTAAATTGGTTGATTTGTGGGAGAGAGTGGAGCTGGGAACCGTCTATTCTGCCATCTTGACCAGAAGTCCTTCAGGCTCATTTTTTAATCACTCACGTTTGCACAATGCTACACGTACACCGCACCATTCCTCAAACCAGTGGTTCTCAAACTTAGCGGTGCATCAGAATCCCTTTGTTAAAACACAGCTTGCTTGGCCCCACTTGCAGAGTTTCTGATTCAGTTGGTCTGGGAAGAGGCTGAGAATTTGTATTTCTAACTAGTTCCCAGGCAATGCCGCTGCTGCTATCCCCAGAATCACACGTTGACACCCCCTTAGTTTTCCAGAGCCATGTATTTGGAAATGCTATTACATCCACCTGGAATGCCTTCTCCTCAGTAATCTCTATTCAAATTATGTCAAAACCCCAATGTGGACTAGGGAAAGCCCAAGTCTCCTCCCTCTTACCCCATTCTCAGCTTCATTTATCCTAATTCCCAAGGACCAGTCAAGTGAAGGATCAGAAAGTCCACTAAGGAAGGAGGGGCGTGGGGTACATGCTGGAGGACACTGGTTGTCTTTTTCTTTTTTTTTGTTTCCACACCACCAGAAGGGAGTGCAAGAACACAAACCCTGGCTGACTATCCCTCTGGAGTCCTCTCCACCTCAGCCCTCTGCTCCTCTCTCAGCTTTGGGGCTACATTCTCCCTGGCTCCATTTCCTGTGGTGCCCAGGTGGATATCACTCCAGTAGTCAATACCAAGATTCGGGATTTGGGTTTAGCAAAAAGGAGGAAAGAAAGGCACCATGGTCTAGCCTGGGATTACTAGAGTTCTGTGCTGGGATTCAGGGCCAAATTCTGAGCTACTAATGAAGCATCTCTGCTTCCCTCAGGGACCCAAGAAGAAGAGGCATAGCTGAGCCAACACATGTTTTGGTGTTCCTGAATCCCTTACCTAAATAGCCAAATTAATGTCATTAATAGTAGCCCACTCTGACCCCCAATACCCATCTTCAAATACCATCCACTTCGTGAAAACTTTCCCACCTGTACTTCTGTAGGACATAACTTAGCCACCTTGAACATAAGTCCTTCTCAGTTCATCTACTCTACACCTTATGCCCTTTGAATTGTACACAGAAAGTACTCATTAAATACCTACTGAGTTTAATTGAAACATACAGATCAGACAGTACACATTGGATGTGTATCATTACCAAAGCAGCAGTCAAATGAATTATATATTAACAGCATTTCACATTTGGAAGAGTTGTTTTCAATGACAAAGTTACCCTAAAAATGTACTTCGGGAGAAAGACATTCAGCCACAGACCAAAGGAGCTTTCACAGTACTTCTGAAAATTTCCAAACATTCTATTGTTTCCAGAAACATATTTATTATATAATGCATATGTCCCCCTAAAAACTTTAAATGGCAAAACGAAAACTGACCTTGTGAAATAATCNGGAAGAGTTGTTTTCAATGACAAAGTTACCCTAAAAATGTACTTCGGGAGAAAGACATTCAACCACAGACCAAAGGAGCTTTCACAGTACTTCTGAAAATTTCCAAACATTCTATTGTTTCCAGAAACATATTAATTATATTATGCATATGTCCCCCTAAAAACTTTAAATGGCAAAACGAAAACTGACCTTGTGAAATAATCCAAAAAGTAAACTGACATTCTTGGTGATCTTCTTCCTTAGAAGCATGGTTCCTATTTAGCTTATATTACCAAAGTAAAATAAAATAGTACAGAATGAATTTTTCTTTAAAAAGGGGAAACTTTTTTAAACAAAAGGGGAAACTCACCTTAGAACTAGTTGCAACATCACATCTTCACAATGTAAACCAATGAGAGTTCTGAATAATGCCAGGGACACCACACAAAGCTGGGAAGCAATAAACACACATTCTATTTCAGATATTGGACTGATAACTCTACTCCCCACAGATGGTAAATAAATCAGATTTACAAAATAAAATGGCCGTTTTTTCTTTTTTTTAAAGCAGTTTTGATAAAAAGCATGTTGCTGCCAGAAAGAATGTGTATTCAGAATATCAGTTCTCTTAGAGGATTTGGTTAGAAACCCATTGCCTGGAATTACACCACTACGCAGTTATCCTCCTAGAAAAATGTCTACACTCATATTTCCAACTTTTTTTTTTTTTTGGTCTTTTTTTGTGAGCGGCTGCACCACGCTCAGCCAGTGAGCGCACCGGCCATCCCTATATAGGATCTGAACCTGCGGCGGGAGCACTCCCAGCGCCACACTGTCCCGAGTGCGCCACAGGGTCGGCCCCATATTTCCAACTTTTAAAGATCCAGATAAACATGCCCTCTACGACTCCCTAATACACACACACACACACACACAC